AACTATTCCATGATAAATGTAATTATCGCTCTATCTAAATTTCTTTTTGTTATAATTTAGTCACAGGGTAATTAGCTTAAAAGTCTACAGCTTTAACGTTTCCGTAAGTCACAGAATATGATGTCTCTCTTTGCATGTTTAATATCTAATTGTAAGTCTAGGCCTATATATAGATTTCTGGTAAAAGAAAAATGAAAACAAAAAGGATGTTTACTTTAAAAAAAAAAAAAAGGTAAAACTATCAACGGTTTAATTAACATAGAGGAACAAAAAGAAATAATGGGAGTATGGGACCCAACGGTCACCACCACTGCACCGTCACCTACAATAAACCTGATGAAGGCAGTCCCTTACAATGACTGTAGGTGAAAACACGGGTTAATGTTATGAAGTTAATATAATGCTTGATATGATGTTAAGGATATTTTAAGGACACTTTTAAATTTTGAACCATTTGTTACAAAATTACAGTGTAGGACAGGCCACAGTTGATCATTAGTCATGGGACCAAGCGCTATGAAACCCATAGGCACCATTTAGAGCTGAAAAGCCTTAACCTATTTAAGATATGGCGCCCCATATAAGTTTAAATATTGTATGTAACTGCTAAATATTTCTTGGAGGCCCTAAGCTAGAGCTTATGTTGCATAGTGGTAAATCCGACCTTGGCCCATGGTTGTTATACCATCGGGTGTGGGCCCCTAAATGGTCGTGGGCCCGGGTTTACTGAACCCTTTCGCGCCATGGATGTTACGCCACTGAGGAAGAGAGAGAGAGCGAGAGGGAGGAAGAGATAGAGAGAGAATAAGTAGGAGTAGAGGGGGGATGGAGAAAGTTGAAAGAATAATTTCACAACAACTATGACATTTCTGTACTGACAATAGAACGAGAAAAGGTTAAATTTAAATATAAAAATATCGCACGTGTTAATTTAAACTGTTCACTTTCTGATCTATCACATAACAGAGGGTAGGGGTGGTACACACAGGCTGGACTTTTAAAAATTGTTCTTAGCTAAAGAAGGGAGATTATCAAGAGAACTTATGTTTTAAAAATCTTTTTTTTTTACTAACAAATGACGGAAATTAGAATAGATTTTAGAAACCGAGTAATTAAAGTATCTCTATAGATCTAGATTTAGTTTCTTGTAAGTGATTGCAACTAATTGCAGGACTAGTGCCACTTTGCTGCTACGATAATTAGTCTATATTTACTTTAGATAATAGCACAGCATGTCTGTGTGGAATCGTTGACTCCGCTTTCAGAGTGAGAGACTAGTTAGACCTACTTTTAATTAACAATTTCTTCTATAGAATGAGACCAACTTCGACTAGCTTTCAGTTCAGGTGAATATAAAGGACTATTCGTCCATCTTCCAGTCTGTCTGTTCTCTTAGTCGGCTCGTGGAGATCACGTGATTGTCCTATACATCAGTGGTTCTAAAATTGTGGTCGCAGGACCCCCTCGACCTTCAGGTATTCACAGAAAGATCAGATCGGATAGTTTAAATAATAGCTAACTGGCTCCTCACTACAGTTTTATTTGTCTATTGCAAACCATTCTATAATTATTGTTGACGCAAAAGATAAATAACAATCCAGTAATAAAAATATATTTTACGCATGAAGGCATTTCAAATTCTTTTTTTGTTGAGCCAATCAACGCCGTTCTTTCTATATCTCTGCTTTATCTTATTATTCAAAGAAGAAGGCTAAATGTGATTATAAAGTTTCCAACCGACGACCTTAAGACTGCTCGACTAACCTACATCAGTCTGGCTTTTAATGTTGCACATTTTATGATGCCTAATACGTTATAGGCTACAGTTGTAATTGCTGTGAAATAAATTGTTCTTTTCGCACGGCCATCCAACCGTTAGACTATGGATACATATTTGATGCTTTAAGCAGGCATCAGAAGAAGAGCAAGAGTATAATGGAAATAGTGAAAATGAACTTAGACATGATTCCGTAAAAGAGGCCGCACCACCATGTAAGGTGGCCCGGTGTAAGGCAAAGTTACGTAAATGTGTACTTGAATATGGACAATTCGGATTCCTACCGCTCAAAGGTGGCCACATCCACAAAGTGCACACATGATTGCGGAGAGTTTGATTATGCCAGCGGTCAGCGACTTAAGAAATATGCGATTTGGACAGACCAATCAGGCTATGTCGGAGGGATCTCTGACATCGTATAACTTGTAAAGGGGTCCCTGAACTGAAAAAGTTTGAGAACCTATGCTCTACATCACAAACTTCAGCTAATTACTCGTGCACTTGTCAATCTAGTGGAGTTTTGAAGTCAGAAAAATGGTCTATCTATGTATGTATGTATGTATGTATGTATGTATGTATGTATGTATGTATATATCTATCTATTACCTATCTATATCTATCTATCAATCAATCACTCTCTCTCTCTCTCTCTCTATATATATATATATATATATATATATATTTATTTATTTATTTTGCAGTAAAGTAGATGTAGATCCTTACAACGTAACCCTAACCTAATCAACATATCCTATAGGCTGGCATCAAACCATTATGGGTAGCAATGTTAAACCTCACTGATAATACCAAGAAAACTAGTTGAAAGTTGATCACACTGAACTCTCAAATTAAGGAGAATTAAAAAGCTGACCTATTGACCAAATATATAAGAAAGTTTAAGAATGAGTAAATACCTTTCTATCCTCAAGAGAGGACAACAATAACCAGAGAACAATGTAAGACAAAAATTGATCAATTTTCAACCAAAAATGAAGAAGTTCTTATCCAAAAATGGACCAGTTTTCACCTATAAATAGACCAGCTCTCACCCCAAAATTGACCAGTTTTCAACCCAAAATGGAAAATGAAAACAGTAATAACAACAAAATGTTTTGTTTTTGTTAATTGAATTTTTGTATTTACAGCAAAATACATACTAAAATACTTTCACTTTATGAGCAAATAATACATATATTTGAAAATATATAGAATACACAGACAGATTTACGTAAAAAAAGGTTATAGTAGTGAATACAGAATGGAGTTTGCATATTAGTTAATGCGATAAAATATACATTTGAAAACAATTTTACGAAACATGGAGCAATTTCAACAATATTGCATTTAAAATAAAATAGAATATACGTATTTGGCATCACATAAAATACAATTATATGAATCTATTGATATATCGACTAGAGAATCAATGAACAAATCAATAAATGATTATTTACAATATAATATGATCTTTGGCATTAACAGTGGCTTCACTAGGGTCTGTGTCACCCGGTGCGGTAAGCTAGGGGTGTCACCCACCTCTAGGAAAAAATTATCCCCCCCCTAAAAAAAATTATTGTTTATTTTGTTTCTTTATGTTGAACAATAAAACTGTAAGCTACTTCATTGACTTTTAACACACGAAAAAAAAATGTCCTTGCTTTTGACATTCTATCAAAAGTTATTACATAAATTAAAAATTTACAATTATAGAATTAAAAAACCTTGAGCCGGACATTTTTATTAGAGATCATTTAAGAGCTCCTTACGGAAAAGGTTTTAAATTATACCAGTGTTTCTCAGCTGTTTCCGAAAAGGCAAATCTTGCACTGAACAGGTTTACGTCCTGCGAAACATCGTCGAGCAAAGCCTGGACTACCAAGAAAGGATGTTGATCAGTTTTGTGGATTTAAAAAAAACAACGTTTGAAAGCGTCCAACAGAATCACTCTGGCAAATAGGAAGAGAATAAGGCATCTCGCAACAATTTGTCCAGATTTAGCGACATGTCTAAACCAAATCAAGTGTTGTGTCACAACAGACGGTGTCATTCTTGAACATCAAGACGAATTTGAGATTAAGGTGTATATCTTATCCTCATTTCTCATTCCCATGATAGCCTAAACCGAAGTGAGTTAGAGTTTGGAACGCAATAGCATTACTTTGAAATACAAATAAAATGTTTACACGATATGAAGCCCTCAAAGTTATGCATATTGGGTGCATGTTGCCCAGTACTCCCCATCAGCATTGGTTATACAGATCTTGAGCACGTTGAAAAGTTAACCTTTTTAAGCAGTGTTATCTCAAGCGATGCAAAATACAGTTCTCGGTGTTGCATGTCTGATTGGAACCGTCTTTTCAAAAAGCGAGGCCTATCTGAACAAACAAATCAATTATCCTGGAGATTAGAATCCACCAGCTCAATACAAATATTGTCTCAACATCACCTACGCTTCGAAACGTGTAAAGTTGAAAGAGACTGAGCAGTGATGGCTGAAAAGGATCCTACAAATAACGTACCGAGATAATGTTACCAATAGAGTAATCTTTACCCGCACAGGCATTCGCCGTCTAAGGGAAGTGGCAACTGAACGTCAATTGACATTTGTGAGACATAGCATTGGACAAAACGAAACACGTTGACAAAGTCAGACTTAATATGAAAGCCGAAAAGAGAACACAAAAAACATGGCCGTTTTAACATGGCGTCACGCCTTTTTTAGAAGTCCTGAATTTCATGGACCAGTTAGGAAGTGGTTGTGAAAGTCGCCTTAGACCTATTTTTGTGGAGAGAGCTTGCAGCCCTATGCTTCGAATGCGCGCAAGGGGCATATATCTATGTGTTTTTCAACATTTTACAATAGAAAAATGTTACGTTCGTCACTTAACTGGCCAACCCCTAGTGACGCCACTGGGCATTAATTAAAATCAAGTATAAAGAAAATGATCTAGCGATCCATAAAATCAAATCAGATATTGTCCGATTCGTTATTTCACGGCTCGAAGAAGTTAAAATTAGAGCAATCTGTACTAAATCTCTCCTCAATATCAATCATTTTACAAGTCATAATCTATAATGTAAAGCACAAAGTAAGGCGTATGTTTGGATGTATGGCGTATATGTATGTATGTATGTATCATGGGCGTAGCCAGGATATTTGTTGTTGTTTTTTCATGGGGCGGCGCTTTGGGGAATTTTTTCTTCCCCCCCCCCCATATATATAAATATATTGTTGTAATTCTGCTCCCTCGCCACACTGATGGTGCGCATGAGAGCACCATTGAACACAGGAGAAGACATGTTGATATAAGACAGGAAGAAGGACTGTTGTGGATAGGCTAAAGTGAAGGAAGTATAAGCTGTCTTGACTCGAGAGAACGCCCTTGGTGCTTTCTGTGAACTGTGTTAAGGACCTGGGGCGGAACTGGGAAGTGTGTCGGTGGTCTGTATTGGTATTTAGGTAGAAAAAGACTGGTATCCCATTAGATAGGATATTCTGGGACTTAATAGCTGAAGCCCATGCCTATTTTTAACTGTAAATAAATACCTAGTTTAGTGTTACCTCCTGCCTTTCATTGAGTGCCTGCCTTAGAGTCACAACATATATATATATATATATATATATATATATATATATATATATATATATATATATATATATATATATATATATGCGTGTGTGTGTGAGGGGGCATAAGTTATCTTTATTACATTCTGGCGGGATTTTAAACTGAAAACTTTTAAACTTAAACCCCTCTTGGCTACGCTCATATAATCTGGCGACTGATGTATGCTTTAGTCTTATACTGAAGAGATTTTCATTTGCATTATTTTTGGTTTTATATAAGAGGGGGCTTAATGGCAAACCCAGCTAGTAAATAATAAATGAAATGGAATCTTTCGTATCATTGGTAATAAATAGTGTCAATAGTGCAACGTGTCTTGACATATTTATTTCGGGTCAATAAGAGCTTTCATTTGTTTCAATAAAAGATAAAGATTTGCAGGATATTTAAAAATATATATAATTCTTGGTCCTGACCACTCACTGATAATCACTGATTTATCCACCTGTCATGGACGATAAAATACGAACATTTAACCTGCTCCCACGTAATGTACACCTCGGCTAATAGCGTCACTTTGAAGAACAAAATCACAGCGCGGGTAAAACTTTGTACACACACACAAATAATTAAAAATGTAAAAAAAAAAAGACAAACAAAAAGAAAAAAAACGACTTTCATGAAGTATATCAGTCAGCTAGCAACTTGATTGAATAAGTCAGCTAGCAACTTGATTGAATAAGTCAGCTAGCAACTTGATTGAATAAGTCAGCTAGCAACTTGATTGAATAAGTCAGCTAGCAACTTGATTGAATAAGTCAGCTAGCAACTTGATTGAATAAGTCAGCTAGCAACTTGATTGAATAAGTCAGCTAGCAACTTGATTGAATAAGTCAGCTAGCAACTTGATTGAATAAGTCAGCTAGCAACTTGATTGAATAAGTCAGCTAGCAACTTGATTGAATAAGTCAGCTAGCAACTTGATTGAATAAGTCAGCTAGCAACTTGATTGAATAAGTCAGCTAGCAACTTGATTGAATAAGTCAGCTAGCAACTTGATTGAATAAGTCAGCTAGCAACTTGATTGAATAAGTCAGCTAGCAACTTGATTGAATAAGTCAGCTAGCAACTTGATTGAATAAGTCAGCTAGCAACTTGATTGAATAAGTCAGCTAGCAACTTGATTGAATAAGTCAGCTAGCAACTTGATTGAATAAGTCAGCTAGCAACTTGATTGAATAAGTCAGCTAGCAACTTGATTGAATAAGTCAGCTAGCAACTTGATTGAATAAGTCAGCTAGCAACTTGATTGAATAAGTCAGCTAGCAACTTGATTGAATAAGTCAGCTAGCAACTTGATCGAATAAGTCAGCTAGCAACTTGATTGAATAAGTCAGCTAGCAACTTGATCGAATAAGTCAGCTAGCAACTTGATCGAATAAGTCAGCTAGCAACTTGATCGAATAAGTCAGCTAGCAACTTGATCGAATAAGTCAGCTAGCAACTTGATCGAATAAGTCAGCTAGCAACTTGATCGAATAAGTCAGCTAGCAACTTGATCGAATAAGTCAGCTAGCAACTTGATCGAATAAGTCAGCTAGCAACTTGATCGAATAAGTCAGCTAGCAACTTGATCGAATAAGTCAGCTAGCAACTTGATCGAATAAGTCAGCTAGCAACTTGATCGAATAAGTCAGCTAGCAACTTGATCGAATAAGTCAGCTAGCAACTTGATCGAATAAGTCAGCTAGCAACTTGATCGAATAAGTCAGCTAGCAACTTGATCGAATAAGTCAGCTAGCAACTTGATCGAATAAGTCAGCTAGCAACTTGATCGAATAAGTCAGCTAGCAACTTGATCGAATAAGTCAGCTAGCAACTTGATCGAATAAGTCAGCTAGCAACTTGATCGAATAAGTCAGCTAGCAACTTGATCGAATAAGTCAGCTAGCAACTTGATCGAATAAGTCAGCTAGCAACTTGATCGAATAAGTCAGCTAGCAACTTGATCGAATAAGTCAGCTAGCAACTTGATTGAATAAGTCAGCTAGCAACTTGATTGAATAAGTCAGCTAGCAACTTGATTGAATAAGTCAGCTCAACTTTAATAAGTCAGCTCAACTTTAATAAGTCAGCTCAACTTTAATAAGTCAGCTCAACCTTAGAAAGAATGCCGCAATAATAAACATTAAGTTTAAATATATATTTCCGCTTTCAAGAAATTCGACTGCTAAAAAAATATTGTTTAGTCCTGCAAATATAAAATACTGGAGTATTCAGTTTTGTGCTGTAAATTGACTGTGTTGTCATTCTATTGTTCTATATTGTTCTGACTGTATTGTCAATCTATAGGACTGTAGATTGACCGTGCTGTCTATCTATTGCTGTGTAAATTGATATGTTGTCAATTTATTGCTCTGTAAATTGGTTTGTTATCTTTCTGTAGGTCTGTAAATTCTTTGTGCTTTCAATTTATTGCTAAGTAAATTGAGCGTTTTGTTGATGTATTGATCTCTAAATTGACCTTGTGGCTAGGACTGGATGTTTTTTGTCAACTCTGTTTGAAGTTAAAAAGTCTAACTCTAAGCTATTTGTTTCGATCTGTGGTCACCAAATTTGACATTTCTCCACTGGATTCATAGGGGAATTGATGGGGCAGTTGAAGCTCCTGGCAAAGTCGTCGCTGTTGGATAAAGAGCCGATCACTCTGTAAGCAAAAACTGTGCAGATTAGAATAGTATTATATCTAATCACACACACACACCATCACACATAAACTTGCACACACAACAAGAGATATGCACACTACTGCACACAAAAACTTGCACACACATCAAGAGATATGCACACTACTACACACATAAACTTGCACACACAACAAGAGATACGCACACTACTACACACATAAACTTGCACACACATCTAGAGACGCGCACACTACTACACACAAACATTTGCGCACACTACTACACACAAACACTTGCACACACATCAAGAGATGCGGACACTAGTACATACAAACACTTGCACACACATCAAGAGATGCGGACACTACTACATACAAACACTTGCACACACAGCAAGAGATGCGGACACTACTACATACAAACACTTGCACACACATCAAGAGATGCGGACACTACTACACACATAAACCTAAAAACGTCTATAGACGTAGCCTACACATAACACAACTAAGTCATATATTTTTGTTATATAAGAAAATGGCACACTACACGATTTTCGCGGCTGAAACTACAGAAAGTATTGAGTTCCGGCAGATGATGTTAAGGTAAACGAGCAAGGTGTTATGTGGCCAGCACAACGACTTACCGTCTTAGAAAGTATTGAGACTTCACGATAAATTCGCCGTACGATTTTTTGAAATGGATGTGCCTGGTCAGTAAATTCTAAATACGGCTGCTTCGACTTGGAGAATCATTTCATAAACGGACGCTTTCAGAGTCTTTCACTCTAGACTTGTTTTTATCAATCTGTAGATCCACGAGACGTATTAGCCACGAGACGTATTAGCCACGAGACGTATTAGCCACGAGACGTATTAGCCAATCAGAACTCAGAACTATGTTTAGGATTCATCTTACAAAATACAAAAAACAAAAACAAAGTCAGATCCATGAAATAAATAATAATTTTACGACAACAAAGTGTGGAGGATAGATGTGAAAGAGAATATCCCGTTCCAAGAGAACGCTACCGTGAAACAGGTTTAACCAAGACCAATCGTCATAGTAGGCCTGACCGCCGACCTGTGACCTAGCGACGAGCTATTGGTCTCCACTGTTTCAAAAAAATGGGGTATGCGTATCTTCAGGGGTACGGGAAGACTTTGGAGGGAGTCTGGAGTACCTCATTAACTGTGCAGATTTTTTAAAACACACATTTATTATGTTCTGATTATAAATTAAAGTTTGGTGGGGTGGGTGGGGAGGGGTACTCAGCATAACAAAAGTTATAAAAGGAGTGCACATAGGTCAAAATTTTGGGAACCATTGGCTTATATTAAATTGAAACGACCCCAGAAACCAAATGATCTCATGCTTATATTTAACTGTTACCTATATTTGTTGTTCGTGTGTTGGTCATTTTTGATGGCCGTTTTCTCATAGGACGGACTGTAATGAGCACACCATAACTGGAGACAGAATAATATTGCCTTATCAAGATTCTTTGTATACATAGCGTAAATTATACTCACTCTGTCTGTTCGTTTGTTTGTCTGGTAAAAAAATTGTGCACGTTATTTCTCTCGCACCTAATCCTGGATCAAGCGGAAATTTCGCACACTTATTTCTTTTACCTGACAAAAAAAATCATATATAAAAATTACCAATTATTTAAATAACTATTTTTGATTAATTATCTTGTTTGTTATCGAACAAGGGAAAATGGAATTTTAGTTAAATTATGATGTGGCATAAGTCCCCTTTATACTTAATAAATCGCCACTTTAAGTTTTTAATTAACAAATGATATCTATAAAAAAAACTTCTATTTTTCATAAGCATTTCATTGGAACAGTGGTTAGTGTGTTGGTTTAAGGTGGCTAAGGAGACTTAAGCCCTCGAGTCTTATTTTTCATAATGCATTTAAAAAGCGATCACGCTAACATTCACATGCTACCCCTTTCTTTCTCCCAAACCCCTTTCTCAACAGGCCCAGACAATTGATAGGATCATAGCACTAAACTAAAACAATTCGTACAAATAGCATTATTAACAGAACATTTTTCTTTTAAATAATACCGAATTCGCAGTATAATGAAGCAGAACTTACAGTTGCTAATCTTTGAGGGTGTAATGAAAATTTTATGTATTGATTCAACTTTAGATTTTTTAGTTATTCAAGACAAACTAAGAGTTTAAAGATGTTTTCTTAAAAGGGCGTACAACTTTGAGTCCTATAGTATTTACGCCATTACAAGATGGTTGATAACTCGTAGCACTGTGAAACATTATCACTTGCATATATATCCTGTGTCTGAGCTCTAGACTAATTTCGAAAAAAGATTTTGCTATCCTAATAATTCTGTCACGTATTACGAATTGAATTCTAATTTTTGAAATGGCTTGCCTAGGGGAACGTGACAATAGAAAAGCAGTTGTGTCACTTATCTTAAGTCTGAATTTAATCAAAGACTTACAATGAATAACAAAAAAAAAATGACACAAGAAATCGGAAGGTAAACTATCAACTTAATGTTTAATCAAATATAAAATTACAAGAAAGAAAAATAAACATTTACTCAATACAGAATTGATGTGTTGACCAAAACCCTTTTACAAAAATGGCATGTAAAAATATTACAATACAAGAG